TGACAAAGCATGACGCTCACCCTATGGATGCGGCTTCAGTCAGGCGGCTGAATCAATACCAGCCACATATCACAGGCACCAAGTGGGGGGGGCAGGTCTTAGGGGCAAGAGTCTTTTTACTCCAACACTTAGGGGCAGCAAAGTAACATACTTTGCAGCTTGATTTTTACAAACCCCCAGTGCAGACCGAGTTATGCTGACTCATTAGTATAAAGGCCAGCTGGTCTTAGAAAGTAACAACATTTCAACATTTTTGCAAGTGTGCCAATTCATTTATGCCAGTTAAACATAGCTGTTCGATAAAGATGAATGACTCTTTTACTCAGATGTCTAGGAGTAATAATAAGGAGAAATAATTGTGTGGTTAATCAAATTCTCAAGGCCGCAGTTTCTATTTCAGAGAATGAACACTGCTCCAGCATTTAGTTTCTCTGCTGTACTGCTATCCCACAACCCTGGCACTGAATCCAGCATGTAGCACCAGGTATTAAGCAAGTATAGCCTGGAGAGCAGAGAACTATAGTCCATGGGGACGGATCCATGGTGATGAAGAACTGCTGAGACTACAGGCCTAATGGGCTCCAAAGATATTCTGTGGGTGAACTTTGCTACTGTTCAGTGATTCAGTGAAAATTATGTGTGTTTCATGGGATCACTGACTGTATGCATGTTTGGTGCCGTAATGCCCTTTGCACCCTGAGTGATTACTCTGTTAAAGTAATATGAACACAAGCACCAGTCATCAGTTTTGTGAATTCTCCCATGACAGACATGTTTACCTGTTTGCTAAGGAAAGATAGAATAGCTTGATGGAGAGGAAGATAAAATTCCCAGCTCACACTGTCACAGCGACTCTTCATCATAATATACTGTGACTGAGCATCTTAATTAATTAGGTGTGATTTGTCAAAAATGCCCACAATAAACAAGATTGAGGGGCGAGTTCTTGAAAAAAGCATTTGTTGATTTGATTTTGTTCGGTTCAAAACGTTTGTGTTTACCCTGTGTTTTAGCTATGATGAAATATATCATAAGGGTGAATTCTTTAAATGAAGATTTTTATAATCACAACAATAAAAATAAATCCAACCAGCACAAACTACCTAGAACCTTTAAAGACTTATTTATATACATTAACCCTGATTACATGAGTTTGGTTTCATATAGGAACTTGGGGGGGGGGGGTTGTGCTGTGTCATTGCTGTTGTAGCTGCTACTCTGGTGGCTTCCAAGGGCACTTCCCAGTGCTGGGCTGTTCCTCAGCATATAGACTACTGACCTCCTGAGCCACTGGCACTCGCAGTGGCACCTGTCTGTGTGTAGGG